AAGTACCCTTGCCGTCTGGTTCTTCTGGCCAGGGACCTGCCGCTAATATGCGAGGCACAAAACCCCGCGTGCAGATCTTCCAAAACTTCTCTCCCCCTATCCGGGGTTACACATTTCAAAAACGGCTGCAGGTATCCCTTCCGGAGGAGTTCCCCTTGATGCATAACAAAACTTGAAACACGCTTCTTGAGCGCTGATGCTTCTGAAGGGTCATCCGGCAAGGTACCATCCGTCAAAAAGGACCGGATGGGATCCATCCAGGTAGCAGTTCTGTCCAAGACTCCAATGGGATCATTCTGAATACTTCGTTTTTCAATGACTTCCCAAAAGACCGTCCTAGGAGCATCACCGGAGGCTGATGATGCCAACTTTGAGAGGGCATCCGCCTGATTGTTTTCAGACCGGGGCACCTGTCGCAGATGAAATTCATCGAAGGACCCAGCCTCCTCTTTGACCGCCTGCAAATATTTGATCATAGCCGGATGGGTGGCTTCGTAGTCACCAAGGTATTGGCTAACGATCAGCTGTGAATCTGAGCAGGCGTCGACCTTTCTTATACCGGCTGCCTTACACATGCGCAATCCGGCTAGCAGGGCTTCATACTCTGCCTCATTGTTGGAGGCTTGGAACTTAAACCGTAGTGCATATTCAAACTTATCCCCTTCCGGGGAATGACAGATAACACCTGCACCACAGCCGTTCACCGTAGAGCTGCCGTCTACAAATAACTTCCAGACCTGATCAGGGTTTTCCGGGTGCACCGGCCTAGTCATCTCGACAATAAAGTCGGCAAACGCCTGACCTTTCACTGCCCGCCTGGGTTCAAAAGTTATCTCAAGGCCTTGTATTTCAACAGCCCACTTGATCATTCTACCGGATGACTCTATAGCAGTCATCGTACGCTTGAGCGGCTGATCTGTGTATACCACAACCGGATGTGCCAAAAAATAAGGCTTCAACCGCTTGACTGCTACGAATAAGGCCAACCCAAATTTTTCGATCATGGGGTACCGGAGCTCAGCATTTTTAAAGACATGGCTGATGAAGTACACCGGCAGCTGAATGTCGTCTCTCTCAGCGAGGAGAACGACACTAAGGGCGTGATCAGAGACGGCTAGGTACATGTACAGAACCTCCCGGGGTAGGGGGCTCACTAGCCTTGGCAAAGAATGCAAGTGCTGCTTAAGCCTCTGGAATGCCGCCTCTGCTTCTTCACCCCATTCAAACCTTGACCTCTTCCTGATTGCCTGAAAGAAATAGAGGCACTTGTCACCTGACCGGCTGAGGAACCTCCCCAATGCCGCCAGACAACCGGTCAACTTCTGGACTTCTTTTACAGTGCGGGGAGACTTCATGTCAATTACCGCCTGTATTTTTTCCGGATTAGCTTCGATGCCTCTTTGGTCAATCAAGAATCCGAGAAACTTCCCAGACTCAACACCAAATACGCATTTCTTTGGGTTAAGCATGACCCGGTGTCGCCTGAGTGTGGTGAAGGTTTCTCGCAGGTCTGCTAGGTGATCCGTCTGTAGCTTGGATTTGACTATCATGTCATCGATATACGCCTCTACATTCCTGCCAATCTGGTTGATAAAAACGGTGTTTATCATGCGTTGGAATGTAGCCGGTGCATTCTTCAACCCAAACGGCATCACCGTATAGCAGAATAACCCCTGATCAGTGACAAAAGCCGTCTTCTCCTGATCTTTCTTCCAGAGAGGTATTTGATGGAAGCCGGAATAAGCATCCATAAAGCTCATTAACGCATGGCCGGCTGTTGAGTCGACTAGGCTGTCAATCTTTGGAAGCGGGTAGCTATCTTTTGGGCATGCTTTGTTCAGATCTGTGTAATCCACACACATCTGCCAAGTACCGTTCGGCTTCTTTACTAGAACGACATTTGCCACCCAATCCGGGTAGTAGCATTGCCTAATGAATCCAGCATCCAACAGCTTTTTGACCTCAGCCGCTGCCGCTTGAGATCTTTCTCCACCATGATCCCTCTTTTTCTGCCTAACCGGCTGCTTTTTGGGATCTACGGCTAGCTTGTGGACAGCAAGATTCGGGCTGACGCCTGGCATCTCTTCCACTTCAAAGGCAAAGATGTCTTTGAATTCCTTCAGCAGCTGGAGCAAACCTTCTCCCAACCGTTCGAAGGCTACCGTCCCGACTTGACTGTTCTTTCAGGACGGCTGTCATCTCGGATGACATCAAGGCAGTCACCAGCCGGCTGAGGTCGTTGGTCATCTGACCTTTCCCCGGCTAGTGATTGCTATTTCTCCTTTTTGACGGGTGCCAGTTGGTCCGCCTTTCTTTTCATACCGGCTGCCCTTGGAGCCGGGACTGCTGGGTCGCAGTTATCAATATCTATGGGCTCGCCCTGGCCGGCTGCACCCATAGTTGTCTTGACGTCAGAGAGATAACACTCTCTTGCCGTCTTCTGGTCCCCGCTTAGGGCACCGACTGTACTATCATCCTTTTGAAATTTGACCAACATGAGGGACGGGATGATGACAGCCTTAGATGCGTTGAGGGTAGGACGGCCAAATATCATGTTGTAGGCGGATAGCTCCTCCACAACTAAAAACTTGACTATCATGTGGCGTCCTTGCCCCTTTTCACCCAGCCGGATCGGAAGATCTATGCTTCCGACCGGATGCACTACTCCACCCCCAAAACCGACTAGTGGGTGAGGAGCCTGGTGCATGTTACCGGATGTGTACTTGAGCTTGGTCAAGCACTGATAACTGATTAGGTCAGACGAGCTCCCGGTGTCTATTAGGATCCGGCCAACCTTCTGGTTGACAACCTTGCATTCGATGACGATGGGGTCATCATGAGGCCGCCTGACCTTGCCCCGGTCCTTTTCAGAAATAAGGACCTCAGGGAAGATGTCTTTCGACGCCTGGCCCTCATCCACTGAGTTGACCAGCTTCCTGATGTTGTCTTTGGTGCCCCGGATGGTGGGACCCCCTCCGGCAAAACCGCCTGCTATGGTGAAGATGGTCTCTTCATCCGTCTCGGAGTTTACTAGGCCGGTTTTTGCCGCCTGCCCTTTCTTGGCCTGGGTATTACCCTTAGCCTTGGGTAGATAGGATTTTAGGGCCCCCTCATCTGCCAGACGGTCCAATAGCCGCCTGAGGCTATAGCAGCCATTGGTGTCGTGGCCAACATCCTCGTGGTATTGGCAATACTTGCTCTTGTCCCGTTTATTCACGGGGCTTTTCATTTCAGCCGGTTTGTCGAGAGACATCCGGTCTTTGATTTCCAGGAGGATGGTGGAGCAATCTTTTGTGAACTCGTATTTGGGGACATATGGTTCTGACTTCCGCCTGATCTTCTGGGCCGGCTGTCCTGATCGGTCAGCTGCCCAGACCCCTTTTCTCTTTTCTTCCTTTCTTGCCGGCTGATGCTGTTGTCGGCTCTCTTTTTTGTCAGACTTTTTATAATCTGACGGCTGCTTGACAGCACAAAGCTCCGTCGCCTGTATATAGGCTTCAGCTTCAATTAACGCCTCTTGGAGGGTAGCAACCCTCTTCCGGACGAGGTCAAACTTAAAGGTCGACCCATCCTTCAGACCTCGAAAGAAGTCTGTATAGGCCACTTCGTCTGATAGTCCTGGAATCTGAATTCTCATCAGATTGAACCGTCTGACGTACGACCGGAGGCCCTCCCGGTCGCCCTGCTGTATTGCCCCTAGGTCGAGGCTAGTCTTTTTGGCAGGAATATTCATTGAGAAATTTGACGTAAACAAGTACGCCAAAGTTCGAAAGCTGTTGATGCAACCGGCTGGTAGGTTACCAAACCACCGCTGGGCTATGCCCTTGAGGGTAGCCGGGAAGCATCGACACCAGACGGCATCATCTAACCCCTGGAGGTACATGAGGTTAGAGTAGGCCATTAGATGGTCTTCTGGGTTGGTGGTGCCATCATAGGCCCCCACCAAAACATTCTTGATCTTAGGCGGCTGTGCCGCCTGGGTTATCTCTGGTGAGAACGCTGTTGGCTGTTCCCCCAAATTTAGCAGGCGCAGCTGCCAGTCCGTGGGTTGGAACGGCTGCTGCGCTTGCCCACCGAAAAGACCCGGTGACATGAAAGGGGATCCACCCAACCCATTCGGTGTGCCGAATAGACCAGGCTGGATCACTTTGGGTCCAGACCGGGCAGAAGCTTCGCCCGTCTGGCTCCTAAGGTTCGTTCCCGTACGCCTGTGTGAGACGTCATGGAAACTGTCCGGGAAGGTCGACGTTGAGGCCGACGCAGACGCCTGACCTCGCTTCTCTTGGAGAAATGTGCGGGCGTCTGAGAGTGTTTTCTTGGAGCCATCCGGCTGTACGTGCCGGATGGCCTTTCGCAGCTCCCCTTGAGGAAAACGGAGTCTGCTTGGATCAAACCTTAAGCCCTCCCCCTCCTTTGGCTTGGGATGAGGGGTAGGAACTCGTTCTTTGACCGCCTTCTTTCCAGAAGGCTTCTTGGCCGGCTGACCCTTCTTTGGAGTAGCTGACCGGATGAGGCTCTTGATCTCACCCTTGAAACTATTCATGAAAGACATGAGTTCGTTTCTTGTAACGGGGGCTGAGCCCTCCACCGTTTGGGCAATTCCAGCCGGTTGCCCGGCTGGGTTGTTGGGAGCCGCTTGGCTGATTTCCCGTTCTCTTCTATCTTTAGCACGAGGGTGCTTCGTTCTGAAAGACCCATCCGGGGCCACATATGTTTCAATTTCGTCGCCACTTTCATGGTCCGTCTGGACCTCAGGCTCGACCACAGGCCGTTTGCCCTGATTCGGTGACACAGTATCAGAAGTCATCTTAGAAGTACTCTCCCCACAGACGGCGCCAAATGTTTCGGGGTTTTTTGATGTGTCCTGCGGGAGAGTTACAATTCCAAGAATGCCCTTCGACGCCTGTGCCTGCAAAATCACGAAGACTCCTGGGGGTAGGAGCTCCGCCTCCGACGATCAAGTTAGTAAAGATACGGGAGGTAGAATGCACGTAATGTGGAAGTTACTTCTCGCGTAATGGGAGAATTCTGCAATTAATATTGCTCGGGGTAAGTGTTTTTCTTTTTGAGGAGTATTCAATGTGAACAACAAACGTTCCAGCCCCCATTAATGAGGGTCCTTCCACTATTTATAGTGGGGAAGGGATGGTTCCACAGGCCACGTGTTTAGGGTATTTTTACCCCAAACAGTACCTTTACTTGTTCAATCACCTGAATTGACTATAAGCGTCAAAGGGATTATTATGAGCAAACTCTAAGTTGTTGTTGTTTGGCATTGAGATGCTACAATCAGAAGAATGAGGTACAAGTTTTTTCCTAGTTTATATTTTCTTAACTTTGACTCCTTTTTTCCTAGTCATTCCCTAATACGAAATGTATCATTTATACTACGAGTAATTCATACACTTTAAATTGTTGTTATTTTTTTTTGACTTAATTTTAGGGTGCTGAATATGAGTGTGTTGCCCCTCTAATGAGCTCTTTCATTTTAATCCCGGACCCAAGGTATCTGTATGTTCATCATGTTAACTTCTTTGCTAAGCGCAAGAATTCTAATTCTCTTCCGGAGCTCTTCTTTGCTGAGACTGTGGCATTAAAGGGTAGATATACAAACAAAGTCCTCAGATGTTGTATCTTGACAGCTCGGCTCAATAGCTCTTCACAAGGTAAGAGGGATAATGTATATTTTACACCCGTGGGATATTTTCAAATTGTCTCACTGTTTTCCATTGTCCCTTGCAGTTGCTATGCCTTCTGATTCTATAGGGATTTTGCATCCAGAAAATGTATGCTGCACGCAATGCAACCGCAGTCAAGGTGATAGTAGCGATGATGATGATGATTGCGATTAATCTAATGATCAATATATTATAGTGATCACGGCTATGATAGCGAGTCTAATGATTGATAAATCAATCAATCAAACTCTCACACCTTGTTATTGCTTGTACGGAGTAAATGTTTTATCTTGCACTTTTTTTTTCTTATACTGCTGGCTTTTACAGTTATGCTTTATGCCTGTTTGCTACTGTTAATGGATTTTCCTTCATAGACCTATTTTTATTTTACTTGTTTCTTTTTCATTTCTATGGAATGATAGGATTAGACTGCCATTTTTAAGTACGGAGTATTGAAGTTAAATCCATTCAAAATTAATAAAAGTATTAAAGTTAAATCAACCTTCTTTTTTAACTTCTTATGTTGCAACTTATTAAAAAAAAAAAAAAAAACCCCGATTGCATTCCTAATTTTTATTCTTGACAAGATTATCCGAGATCATTGTGAATTTGTGATTGATTGCGATCAGAATTTTCAAATGAAAGGCGTGGAATGTACAAACTAATAAATGGCCTGAATCATGCTCATGATGGGCTGGGTATGCTAAGGTTCTATCATGCATTAATTTGATTCGGAGTAGGATTATTGGGAAGATAAAATTTCTTCTGTGGCCTAAAGCCTTCTTTGTACCTTGAATGACTGGCCTGGCTTAAAGCTCTAAACACTGCACTAGTTAACTATTGCCAATAACTCCATTTTGGATTATACTTCGTCACAAATAATCTATCTATGACATCAACTAATACTCCGTGAATCCGTATATATATTGTATATCAAGTACTTTGCAGTCCGCATAAGCCAAGTGTGTAGGTTTTGTTTTGTTTTTTTTTTTTTCCTAAAAAAAAGGCACCACTTAGTCTTCAATCTTCATGTAATGCCAATTGTAGCCTCTTAGACCTCGCTATGGAGTCATGGACCAAATTTTGTGCATTTATTCGACTATACTACCTAGTACGAGTATTTAAAAACTATAACCTTGCCATTATTACTCACTTAGATTTTCTAAATTAATCACATGTTCTAAGGGTCTTTTCTCTTTAGCTTAAATTTAGTTTAGTTCAGTTCAGCTCCAATCAGTTCAGTTCAGTTCCTAATTTTCTTTCTATGATAAATAATTCATTTCAGCCTAGGTCAGTTCAGTTTAGTTCAGCTCCAAAGCCTCAAATCAGTTCAGAATAGACCCTAAATTTAGTTCATCTCAATAAGTATGAGTTGTCACATATGACCTTATTCTCAATGGATCCCTAATTCAATACTTATACAATGTATACTTAACTTTTATCCCTAATTGAATACATTTATGATTTATCTAATGCTTTTCTTTTATAACTTAATTCTTTTACGAATGTAATTAATGCCAATACCCTTTTGCTGTCAATAAATAAATAAATAAATAAACAAAAATCTTATGTGCCTAGCCACATGGTATGACCACTTCACATAATCACATATAAGACAATTAATTAAGTAATAGGGGGTTACGGTGATGAGCAAATGGGGTTACATTATCGTATGTAGGTTACTTAAATAAGAAAAAAGGGGTTACTCTCTTATATTTAAATAAGTGGAATTATTCTTTCATTTTTTTAAAACAATAGAATAGGGGTTACTCGAATGAACACATAGGGTTATTTATTTCTACATTACTTGATTTCACTTGTATAATGAATTTGAGTTACTTTTATAGATAACATGGGGTTACACTCTTATGAAAAAATGAAGTTACTTATACATATAAATGAAGATTACTCTTATAAACCAATGTGGCCACACCGTGTGACTAGTTACATACAAGACTTACCCGGATTTTGTATTGTAGAGATCAAACAACTAGATAACAATGTCTATAATAAATTGTAGTATTATCCTCAAATGGGGGTAAAAAATCCTTGCCTAAATATTTAATCTCATTTTAGGCATATGTTGTAACTTCATAACCATAACTTCTTTAATTTTTCACCGGAAAAATTGAAAAGAATAATCCCACCTTTCGCCCATCTGCTCAAAATAATCCTACCTTTTCGAATTCCAAAAATAATCCCACCTTATAACCCTCATCTTCTCAAAATGAACCTTTTACCGGTTTTTGAAATTAGTAACCGATTTATGATCCTAGTTTTAAATAATTAAAAAAACAAAACAATTACAAAAAATCTCCCTGCCCCACGGCCATCACCACCATCACAACCTTCTGTCGCCACCCCTTTATCACCTCCATCACAACCCCTGCTGCAGCCACCCCTTTATCACCACCATCACCTCCATCACAACCCTTCTGTCGCCCCTTACCCCACCATCACAATCCGAAACCCCAACCTAACCCTGAACCCAACCCACGAAAACCAACTCCACCCCCAATTTATTACCATCAAAACCATCACAACCCAAAATCCCCTCTTGAATTAGAAGAAATGAAAGTCGGCCGGCGTCTGAATCGATAGCGAAACAGCCTCCTCCCCACCCAACCCACGAAAACCACCTCCACCCCCAATTTAGGCTGATTTGTGGGTTGAGTTGCAATTCCCGACGCTATTTTTGTTCAAATTTGAGGCAATTTGGCAGATTGGTGGCGCGACGCCGCCGGTGCGCTGCCGGCTTTCGTGATTGTTGGCGTCTGAGGTAATGTTTGTTATAGAGCGGAGATGCATAGGGTATGTGGGCTATATGTAAGCTGGTGGGAGTTGGTGGCGAGCTGTTTGGCTGATTGGTGGTGCGACGCCACTGGTTGGTTGTTGCGAGGTTAGGGATGGTGGCTGCGTGCAGTGAAGTTGTTTGGGTGGATGTCAGGTGGTGGTGAAATGGCGTGGGGATGGGAATAGGTTGGAATTAGGATTTTAGGAGGAGGTCAAGTGGTTGTGTGGAGGTGGTTATGGTGGTTGACATGGATGCAGCTATGGAAGGGGTAAGGTGAGAAGAGAGATTAGAGGAAAAAAAAAATATAACCTGTTTTACAGGTTGAAGGTAAAAAAGTTCATTTTGAGAAGATAGGGTTACAAGGTGGGATTATTTCTGGAATTCGAAAAGATGAGATTATTTCTGAAATTCGAAAAGGTGGGATTATTTCTGAATTTCAAAAAGGTGAGATTATTTTGAGCAGATGGACGAAAGGTGGAATTATTCTTTACAATTTTTCCTTTTTCACCTGCATTACCCTGGCCTTATACTAGGCACGGGGCCTTATTAGGAATATCAAATGGGAAATTTGATACAAGTCGTATGATTTTGTTAAGGTTCTTTATTCTACATTTCTATAATACTTGTTCTCACCTTAGCTTTATTTTTCTTGGTTTTAATCAGAGTTTGCTTGCCTTTTTTAAAAAAAAAGTTTTATTATGGTTTTTTTTTTTATAAAGTTTTCTATAATACTTTTCATGCCAGCAATCTAGGACATGTATTTTTTTTACTTCGAGCCCTGGAGAGATTTGAAGTAGGATGGTCAAGCAGCTGTATTCCGAATGTGGAGGCAACCCAAGCGTGAGACGAGGTTGAGGACAAGGTGGGTAACAGTTTGTGGTTTACCTGCATGCCTTCTTCCATCTTCTCACTCAGATACTTGCATGGGACCCAAGCAAAGACTCTTTGTGGTAGTTCCTTAATATGTGAATTTATTTGTGTCTATTAAGTTATGTTCTGTTCTATTTGAATAATTGGTATATTTTATTTGAACCTAAAAGTGAAATCATGTAGATGACCTTAAAGAATTGAAGATATTGTAATTTGTCATGCCTTCTCTTCTCTCTGTTGGTTTAAATTCTTAACTTAAAATTAATGAACTTAAATTTTGATGAAGTTATGCTAATTCCCCTCCTAAAGTTTTAAAAGTCCTACTACATGCCTTCTATGTTATCTACAAGGTGAGTTATGACTTCACTTTGGTATTCTTTGGTTTATTTGAATTAACTATGCTCTTATTTTTCACCTTTTTAACAATTTGTTTTCAAATTTATTTCTGTCATTGCATATTCTTGTTGGCACATCTTTTTATGAAATTGGAGAAGTCGGTGGATAGCTTGAGAGGATAGGAAAAAGAGTAAAGTTTCAATCCTCCCCTTTGATGTGGCATTCATACAATGGTTGTATGTGGGAGCCCACATACAACACCATTGTATGTATAGCATCACCCAATCCCTTAAGGCTTTAACTTTTATAGCAATTGATGATTTGACATGTAATTAGGAAAAAAGTACATAAATTTTAATTTACTAGTACACAACAGTAAAAGAAAGACAGTAAAAGAAAGGTGGGGCTGTGGATTGTCAATCTTTATTTAATTACTCTACATTGGATGGCTTTCTTAGACCACTATCAGCAGTGAGGGAAAAAAAACTCCTCAATCTCTTTCTACCCACTTTCTCACTCCTCCAACCCAATTTCCCTCATCAAATGATTTTTTCACCACACCAATGAGGAAAAAAAAAAAAAAACTCCTCAATCTCTCTCTACCCACTTTCTCACTCCTCCACTATACCCCACCATAATACACATCATCTTTTTATTTTATCTTTATTTTGAAATATTGTTTATACTACATAATTAATTTTCCAATACAATTAAAATATGTAAAAATAATTTTTTTTTTAATTACGTTTAAAAATAATTTAATAAAAATATGTAAAAATAATTTTTTTTTGTAAGAAATAAGTATAATAATAAGAAGAAGAAGAAATTGAGAGAATATGTTAATTTCTTTAATTTATGAGATTTTTTTAAATTATATCAAAATATATCAAAATGCATGTCTATTTATAGAGAAAAAAATTTTATGACCGTTGGTGTATTTTTTTTTTTTTAAAATATTTACAAAATATAACCATTGTAAAAAAGGTACAAAAATTCTGATTGGCTGAAGCACTGACACGTGTCACCCTCCCATTGGCTGGGCTGACGCGCGTCAGTGCCAGCCATTTAATTTTATTTTTTTTGCTTCGTGTACTGTTCATTGCTACCAGAAAAAAAAAGAAAATGTATTGCTTGTGGGCCCCACGCGTGCACTGTTCATTTAGAAAAACCCTCAACTCTTGAGGGTTTTTTTTTTCCCTCACGGTTGAGGGTTTTTTCCCTCACTGCCGTGGTGCTCGGTTTTTTTTTACACCCTTATTTTTACTCGTGAGGGTTTTTTTCCTCACTGCTGGTAGTGCTCTTAGGTAAATAAAAAGGCAGCTATAAGCTATTTTAGCTTGTTGTATTTTATTGGGCCTTCATATCATTACTATCTTATTGGATTAAGCAC